ATTTGTGCAGAAAGACGTGCAAGGTCTTGAGCCATGCAGCGTCTCATTCTTTGTGGCATGTGTTCATCACCAGCTGTCGCTGTCTTTCGAAACCATTTTGAAACATATACCATACTTTCACTGAGCTTCCATTGTGTATAGGCTTAATGCTAATGTTAACATAGGCTACTGGAGGAGGACTTATTTTCTTAGTTTAAATGGTGCCAAAGAATGAATAGCAAGAAATGTCTATGACAGACTATTCTATCTTGGCCTGTAATTAGCTAGACTTTGACATTGTGCTGACGATCTCATTAGAAAATGTTTATTTTTGTTTACAAGTTAGTTATTTCGTATGAATTTTTACATGTGATTCATCCGTAAACACTTTTTTTCAAAATAGCATAAAGGTCTACCTCTAATCCCGCCCCTAAATCGAAAGGTCCCTTAATAGCCGTAAATATTCTGGGGTGCGTTTCCGTCGTTATCAACATTCAACGAATCGGTGTTCCCCAAAAACATAGTTCTATTGAACATTCGCAAACAGCGTGTGGCTGGAATGACGGCTCTTGGCCTGTGGTTAGACGCTTAGCCTATTTTCTTGTTTGCATGACATGTGGACTCAAAAAATCTTTATCTTGAGCCAAATAAGCAAGCTGACATTCGGTACAATCTATATCATTTATTTATAATGCATACAAATATCATGTACGTCTTTTAGTTTGTCAAGAGATGTAATGCGTCTAGTGCGCATGTGCATGCTCAGCCCATTCTCCAACGCATTCTCACCCCCAAGGCGTCACCTAACTGATGCCCCTGGAAGCATTTGATCATGCTTCAATATCTGACGCTTTAGGCGCCCTTTAGGGTCAGTTAGATGACGCCCTAGGATCGCATGTACCCTACCCCCACCCCACACCTAAACCTAACCGGTGGTTGAACGCCAGTTGTGCGGGAAACGCATCCCTGATTGTGAAAAGGGTTCGCGTGATTGAATAACTCATAATTAGGCTACAACTTTAGACTCGTAATTTACTTGTACCATGCGACCACTGCTTATTGTTTAGTTAATAGTGCAAGAGAAAAGTAAGTCCGAATCCGTTGACTTTAAAATTACATTGTCATGTGTTGCCATATCTTAAGCTATTTACGGTAATTATGACATGGTGTATAAACGGGTGTAAACCAACCCGATCTTTCGGCAATTTATTTCGTACGAATTTTGCGAGGTGACTAATTCGTATGAATTTATACGACCTCACTCATGCAATTCCATACGAGTTTTGCTAAGTCGTACATATTTTACGAGTTGCCCAATTCGTAAGAATTTGTACTACCCCTGACTCCGCCCCTAAACATATCCATCACTGGGGTTTAAAGGGTTAGTTCACCCAAAAATGAAAATTAAGTCATTAATTACTCACCCCCATGCTGTACCAACCCCGTAAGACCTTCGTTCGTCTTCGGAACACAAATGAAGATATTTTTGATTAAATTTGAGAGCTGTATAACTACCACATTGGCTGCCTAAGGGACTGCCTCTTGACGGCCCAGAAAGTCAATGAAGAAAATGTTTAAATATCCCAAGTGACTACCGTGGCTCAACTATATGTTTATCAAGCGACGCGAATACTTTTTGTGCGAAAAAACAAACAAAAATAACGAGTTTATTCGACTATTTCTTTTCTTCCTTGTAGGCCAGAAACGAGACTTCCTTAGATTTCCACGACGCATGCGCGAGAATTGCGATCTGAAGTAGTGTAAGCAGATCGCAATTCTCGCGCATGCGTCGTGGAAATCTAAGGAAGTCTCGTTTCTGGCCTACAATGACTTAATTTTCATTTTTGGGTGAACTAACCCTTTAAATCGTACGAATTAGCCACCTTTTACTCACTCTTACGAATTGGTTGTGAGATAATGCAAAAAAAAAAATACAATTTAAATTCTACAAATTCCACAATTTCGGCAAAATGTTGAATTATATTTTATTAAAAAAAAAAGTTTGTTGGGTTTTATCAGTAATTTTACATAGCCGCTATCAAAATGTGTGTCCTTTATCTCTGTGTGTCCTTTCTCTCTTATCTCTAATAAGCGATCAAACTTAAAAGAAGTTTAGAGAGTGTGTGCATTCACAACCTTTGCAACAAAGGCTTTGTTTTCAGTATATTCTCTCTAGTTTATAAAGTTTCCTTTACAATTCGTCAGCATTTACTTTTCACTCATAGAAGAGTTCAAATAGAGACACCAAGATAAGAGACTCATTATAGCTCTTTATTATGTCATTATCAAACATTATATCAATCAATGCTTTTCAATCATGCAGTCTGTATAAATGTATACTGTATGTGCAAATGTCAATGTTTAATTTTTATCTGTTTTAGTGTAGGCTATAAACTATTCTATTGATCATTGCATTGCGGCAATATAAGCTTTATATGGAACTGATGTGTCTTGTTTTTCAGTAAAATGAGCTAAGGATGCATTCCGAAACATTTCTGTGAATTGAACTGCTCAAGCTAAAGGTTTCTATTGGCCTCATAATCACTCCAAATTTGTACAAAGTGGTGAATCTTAGTGGTATTGTTGTATTAACATCATTGGGGTTCATTTTAAATTACCATTTTGATCCATCTTCATATGATGCTTCATTGATACGCATATGACACATGATAGTGCCAGCCTTTAATGAACAAAGAGTGTTTGCTAAACAAATGAAAGCAAGAGTCACTACAAAAGGAGCTGTTTACAGAGCTCAGAATCCAATACAATGTATTTACTCTGCTAACCGTAAAGTCTTATAAGGCCATTCTAAAATAAGCTAGGATAATATTTTGCTGTTGCCATTGTTATTGATGTTGCTCAATGACAAAGTACTTTGGTTTCCTAACCACTTCAATGATTAAACTGAGCCTTCATGGTGGTTTGACTGAAATAGGGCAGGAGACATTTCCACTTTAATTTTGGCTATAGTCTCACCACTGCTTCAGGCATAGTAGTGCCCAGGATGCACCACTGTAAACATTGGCCCATTTTCTCATGTGAGAAAATCCCTATGCCACCACACCTCTTCTTATTTTAGACTTTGCCGGCCCAAAGTACTGTGCTCTGCAAAATATATAAACATTAAGAGTCGTTCTGATAAATGCATAAGAGCTGGCAGGCCACCAACCAAAGCATAGAGACTGAGATAAAACTCAACATATAGCCACACCTCAAATTATCAGGCTAATGGGGGAAAAATCACTACCCAAGGGTTTTAAAAATAATAAAAATAAAAAATAAACCAAACATGTGTGGCCTCAGGGCAGGGAAGAAGTTGTTTATTTTGTTCAGAGATATGTCGATAAGTCTCTGTCTCACCTGTCCCAGGTGATTTAAACACAAGTAGGGCAGATGAGTCCTGTTGCATCTGGATATTAAGAAATCCCACACCAGAACCTAAATAAGAAATAACTGTATACTGAATATCAAACTTGAGACTTGACTCTGAATTTAGTAATAGATGGCAGCCAGACAAAATCGCACTCGTTTTTCTGATCAACAGTAGAGACATTTGCCTTTGTATCCATCTGTATCTCATTATCTCTCTCTCCGTACACTCCTGACTACCAGCAAGCTTTGCTTAAGATTAGATATTAGATATTTTTGATCCCAGCACCATCTAGTCTACAAGCTGATGATAGCAGGTGAGTTGGTACTCAATTCAGTGTTTGGCTTTTGTACACATCCCGTTAAATTCTTAGCTGCCATATATTTCTATGTGACCAGATCCACCTTGCCAGTAATATGAGCAGATCAACCTGTTCCACACACAGGGGTCTTACACTGCTAATGTAAACTCAGCAATGAAAAAAAAGACCAATTTGTATGTACTTTCTGTACTTTGCTTGTTTTTATGTTTTGCTTGTTTTTTTATTTTTTTATTTCATCAATGCTAAATGACAGAGATATAACAGGAATCTGACCTGGGTGATGCAGACAAATATAATAATGATGATAATAATTGTTGTGATTATTATATTTATTAGCCTACTTTTGTTGTTGGTGGTGCTATTGCAGCTGTTTTACATGAAATAACCGCCATCTCATTTTAAGATTATCTCCCCCATAAGGGCTTGGGAAAGATCCAGCAGTTACATAAAGTGTTCAATATTTATTACAAGTTTTATAGAAAATAATAATACAGTTATAATCTGTATTTTTAACTGAAATATTGCTGGACTGTGCTTGTCTTAACTGATGGTTCAGCTGGCAGTGAGTCAGCTCGGAGCACCATGCTCGCAGCTGCAGCCCAAACTATCCATAATGGCTGCCGCTTTATTGTTCATATCGTTCATTGTGTTTCGAGCGCCATTTTGCATCAGGGTGCAGTCATGGGAACCCACAGCCCAGTCAACCGCTTGACCCCCCTACAGCACTTGTGCCCATTTTTTAAAACATCCATCTAAAAATAATAATATCCGTGCTGTTGCTTTTTACATCTAATGTTATCAACTACAGCCCATTTTGTAAATAAAATACTCAATACTAATACTTAATTCAGATTAATAATAAGCTCTGTTGTTGTTGCATTCTTTTTTTTTTTTAAATATAATCGATTTTTTTTTTTTTTTTTGGAAAAGTAGTATTTTGAAAATAGGTTTAGAATATTACTACAAATTTTAGTAGGCTATTCTTTTTTATATACATACGCAGTATACGCAGTTCCAACCTCTCTCTCTCTCTCTCTCTCTCTCTCTCTCTCTCTTATAATAATACGAATAACACAGAATATCACTCATCACAATATAATGACGGTTACTAATAATAATAATAATTGCATACTGTTAATAATGCTCATCAAAAAACATTAATTCAACCTGCGGACTGAATTGTGTTTCATCACCATACATCAATACCAAGGAGAAAAAACAAATTCTAAAATTGAATGTCTTGATTTGTATTAAAATGAATAAACATTCTTTATAATGAAAAAAAAAATCGTTAAACCTTAGAGAATCAATCACACTTGCTCCAGCATATGTGTTTTTATTGTATTTTTATTATTTCAACTATGAAAATAACGTACAATAAATAAATTTGAAATTTACTATTAAAGAATCTCAATAAATAAACTAGTTCTAAAATTATTCAATAAGGACAACGCCCGCCTTGGGAGAATTCCTAAAAGCAGTTCAACTACCCTTATGTCTGACACAATTCCTGAGATTCCAATGATTGAGTTTCACTGAAAAAGTCCGCAACCATTCATCTGTTAGTCGAGATAAACTAAAATCCGAGAATCAAAAGGCAATAAAATACCTGAAACTTCGACAGGGGCCTTCCCGATGTGTATTCAAAAAAGATTACATCATCTTATTTTCAAAATAATGGACAATTTATTTCCGTGTAGGCTTAGCTTTACGCCTTTTTTGTTTTTCTTTCTTTTAAAAAAATAGGTAATTGTTTTTTACTCTTTTTTTCTGTTATATTATAGGAATGTTGCGGTCGAGGAGCATTCACGACCCTGCAATAAGATGTAGCTCGATTGTTCTTGTATGCGTTGTGATGTATTTTTTCAGAACTGTAAATGTTGCAAATCTATAGTACAAAGGGTGCTCGTAAACAAGTCAAAATCTTCCTCGGAAAAGTCAACTGGACTGTCCAGTGAGCTCTGCAAACTCGGCGATAAAGCGTCCGAAATCTGTAGGCAGGAGTCCGTCGAAAAGAAATTCAAATCGGGCAGAGAGGTGGCATCCTGCGGCTCTGTGAACGAATGCTCCGGTCCAGCTGCTCGGCCCTCAGTCATTGTAGTGGGGTTATCTGCAGTAGGCGTTGGATACAGGGGGGAGTGAACCGCTGTGTCAGGAACAGATGCAGGCTCCGGCTGGTTCGCCTGGCCATCATCAGGCGTGGGCTGGCTTTTGTCCGCACTGTTCGTGTAGGAGGCATTTGTCGGGCACGTCTCACTCTCGGAGACTGCGGCCGAACCAGAGCCAGAACCAGATATTTCCACAGATTGGCTCGAATAGGGTGAAGCAGCGTCGGTTCCCTCCAGGAGCTCGAAACCGCTGGGCTCGCCTTCTTGCCCGTCCCGGTGGTGCGTAGTTTGCCGTTTGTGCTTCATGCGTCGATTTTGAAACCACACTTTGACTTGGCGCTCGGTTAGATCCAGAAGTGCTGCTATTTCAACGCGCCGGGGCCGACAGAGGTATTTGTTAAAGTGAAACTCCTTCTCCAATTCAAGTAGCTGCGTGTTGGTGTATGCGGTCCTCAGCCTCCGTGAACCGCTGCCATTATCTAGTCCACCTAGAGCCTCTGCAAGAATCAAAACAGAAATAAGGCAAAGTCATAAAACTTTATGTGAGAAATTGTCCAGATGACCGTAAAATCCCAGTGTAGAACAGCCCTGCGGTTTGGGCTTGTCATGTAGCAATGACTGCAATGGTTAGGCATGTCTTGTGGTAATAGACCAGCATAGTGTACAAGCGGTATTTTAGTAAGCCCCATATTTTGTAGCGTTCCACAGCTTTCACAATAATGATCCAAAATGGCTCCGCAAGCCATGAAACATGGTTATGAATGAATATCGAGTCGCAGCTGACATCAATTGCGATTAAATCCTTATTATAGTTCAAGATACTATCTGCAGGAGAGTAATCTTTTAGAACGTGCAGTTTTGTTGCCTATGCTAAGAAATGGGGGAGGGGTGCCTTTTTATCTTTTTAAGATTTAAAAAACAACAACGGGATTTAAAAAATATATATATAAATATGCACAACAATCATGCTTAATGGGGCTTGAAATGTAGACATCAGATGAAATTACATTCTTATTCCTAAATACAGGGAGCTCATCAGACGTGAAATACTAGCCCATCCAAAGCAGGTTATGCTGTGCATCACATATAAATAGGACAAAGAACAACTTCGACAGGGCTTTTATAATTTCGTAATATACAAGCATGTGAGATGTAACTGTAATAATTCTAGGTTATGATAGCAGGCAATACGTTTTAGCTACATTGACATCTATTCAAGTCACGAATCCTTCAGGAAAAAAATGTCCAAAATGAAGAAATGCAGAACAAACGCGGTCACTGCTTTGATAAACGTACCTGTCGGGGACTCCAGTCCCGCGGTTGTGTAGCCGGAGGATGCCTGAGAAGGGGAGGCTGCTGCAGCAGCAGTGGCTCCGGGCTTGGGGCACTTCTTCGAGGATTTTTTCTCTTTCATCCAGGGGAACTCGTGGGCCAGGGGTGTACCACCCGACAGCGGGGCCGGGCCTTGCTGGTGCTGCGTCGACGGTGCTGTTTGTGTCCGGAGCTGGAGGCCATTGGAGGCAGTTCGCTTTTGGCTCCTCGGTCGCGCCTGGTTGCCTGTGCAGGGACTCAGACTTGGGATGGTGTGCTCGAAAGGAGGTGGAATTGCTGTCGAGTCCTTGATTGATGAAGTTTGAAATGACTCCAGGACAGCGGGGAAAGACGTCAGGCACTCTGCAAGGGAAGGCTGGCTGTTGATGAACCCAATCTCCCTCTCAAATTCAAAATTCATCGCTTCGCCTGGGCAAAAAGGGCGTCCAGCGACACCAACATACGCAAAAAATAACATCCAAAAAGCTAGGATTTATTTTGCGTTCCTGCTATGACGGCATTTGCGGGCTTTAATAATTGTGTATATTGGTGATATTACTAGCGTATGGGGACCAGGGTCTACTAAACTGAAGACTATGGGCGAAATTGCAGCCAATTCCTGGTCACATGACTCATCTCAGCCAATCGAAATTCGGGGCCTGGTGGCAAAAGAAAGCAATATTTGTCTGAATTGATAAAAAATACAACAAGATATTATACTCCAGTTCTTATAGTAACATGGAAGAAATAAAAAATAAAAAAGGCTCCCACTTGCCATGTGCTCGAACAGCCCTGTTTTGTCGTGAGAGGTAAAGTGAGGGGCTCTTATGCTAGACGACAACATTCCAAATGCAGAACTACCGGTGATGTAATTCACAGGCCTTGTCTGATAAGCACATCCACAATATGGTTTCTTGAGAATTTACAATCAAGGGCCATTAATCTTAAAACTTTTGACAAGAGTAACAGACAAGAGATGTAGCTCTTGAAATACTTAGCCTATTCTATCAAACACATAAATACGGATGTACAGGAGTGATGTTGAGATTGTCTGCCACATATACCGAATAGGAGATTCCCAACCATTGCCACACAAATAAATTATTTTGGGGTTTACTTTTCTTTCACGCAGAATCTGAAGAACTGCTGAAACCTCGGACCTTAAAGCGCGTAAGTTTGCACGAAATCCAGGTTAGAGAATTGTCGATTAATAATATATTTATATTGGCTATTATTATTTTACTTTTTAGTTAAAAAGTGTAAGACATAGGCTATAATACCGCAGGAGAAAGAGTTTTATATGGTGTGTTTGTGTGTGAAACATTTGTTGATGTGACAACCAAAAGTTCGTCATGAGGTCGCATTTACAAATGGAAATTGCGAATATTGACTTGAACACGTTCTATTGCAGATTGGACAAAGAAAGCAACGATATAATGTTACTTGATGAAAAACTAAGGAAAATTGGTTGCGTCAAAGTCTAAAACGAATGGGAAAAGGGGGTAGATATTTTTAGAGCAAGAGTAGGGAGGCTGCGAGGGTGATCAATCTTTACGCCGGCAAAGCGCTTGACAGCAGCCACCCTCAAGAATTCGCCTTTTTCCTCCAACATCACAACAAAGAAAACCCCCCATTATACCCTCGTATATTTGTGGATTTTTTTCCAGAATTATCTTTTTTCTGCATTGAAAACATTCTATTGGCGCGTCGCATTGGATAGGATTATTAAAACTAAATTGTGTTTCAGATAGCTGTAATCCGAAATTGACCGGATTTGCAACCCGGGCTTCTTTTCGTCGTTTTTCTAAAAAAAAGAACAGTGGAAACAAATATAAACCTGCGTGGGTGTCTGGGAATTTTAAAGGAAATACAAAGCAAGCTGTAGGCCGTTGGCGCTTCGGAAAGGCTTCAGTCTGAAAGGCCCTCCTTCACTACAGAACGGAGCGGACATGCGATGGACTGGGACGCACTGATAATCTCTCTTTTTATTTGTCGTCTGTGTTTTATGTTTCTATTTCGGAGAGTACTTACATAAACAATTATCAAATTTATTTTTCTTTTCTTTTTTCAACTGGATTTTTCTACTGGGACGAATTGTACAACATTCTGCGTTAAAAGCTTAAAGGAATTTATATCATCCGTGGGACAGCGATTTTTAATTAATTTCTTTAGGTCTATCTATCTGGATTGCAAGCAATAATTGAAGTATTTTAATATTTGGTACCTTATGTTTGTACACTGTGCCTCCAAATGTGACTATTTTCTGTGTAGTTAGAAATACAATAACTTGCTTCTTATGCACCCTTTTATTCTGATAAACGCGTTGATTTTATTAGATATTTAGACGAATTGAAGCATATACATGTTTGTAACAGTATAAAAAGTGTAATCCAATACAACAATCACATGTTGAGAGAATGGTAACAAACCGCTAAATGTGTATTTGTGTTTTGCACATGGCATGGAAATTGTTTCGTGTTATTATCATTGCTATTCTAATATATTTATTGTATATTAACACGGTTGCAAATTTCTGTGCTCTATTTTTTTATACAATAAATCAATTCGTTTAGTTGTATTTAAAGCTTGTGTATGCTCAAATCAAATATGTGTTAAATGAGCTCGTAAAGCAACGCAACCTACAATAATCGGCTAAAATCCAACATGCAGAAATACGTTTAGTCGGCATTTACAATCTGTCTGCTTCAAATTTGGGATTATTATTAATCATTTGTTTTAACTCTTTAACCAGTAATACAAGGGTTCCGCGATTCCATTGGACCCCCTTCACGTGACCATTGCAGGCGCGGCCTCCAGGGCTATTTCACAGGCCTCGAGGAACCCCCACCCCCACCCATTTCTGCCTGTGCCTGTATATCTGTTTGGTAAACTCATGAACTTATAGAGTGGAAATGAATAACATAACATTTTATTAAAGAATTGTTCAACAACCAACTCTTAACAAGGAAATAAAAGTAGTTACAAAGGACAAATGAAGTTCTCAAAATGTTTCGCTATATTTCGTCTAATTCTCGACTATGCGGGAACGGTTTGATTCCGTTCTTGCGCCCCCTGTACAAGTCAAGACATTATTTATACAAGGGTAACATAAACCTACATATCTCTAAAATACAAGAACTAAAAATTAATTTGTTACAATGACAAGAACACAGCGTCTTTTTATAACAGGTAGATACTAAAAAAGTACATTTTATCGATATAAATACATGGGGATAAATAATACAAAAAAGAAAGTATTTAAACTGGCTATAACAAATAAATATATATTTATGAATGTTCACTTGAACACACTTAGCGAAAGACGCTGATTGAAGGTCTTCCGATTCAAAATAAGATTTACTTTTCTTCCTCACCCATTAAATGTAAACTCTAAGTGCAACAATGATGCCCAGACCAGAGCGCATTAGGCGTAAACAGATACGTCTGCGCTGTAGCTTGGTTTCCCGGACATGCATTTTTGTTCAAATATACCCTGTTTCCACGTTAAGTCAAGATATGAGAAAATGTGGGACTTTTATATTAGTTTGGACTAATGTAGGCGAACCCAAAGATTGGGAAAGATAGAGAACTGGGGAAGGGAGGGAGGGAGGGAGGGGAAGAGGGAGGGGACAGCGAGTTGAGGGAATGAGCTTTAATTTACTAGTATTCTCAACTCTTCTTTTTTACCCTGTGTCAAAGCCATAACAAAATTATATTTACTTCTCATCAATAGTAATAGGTAGCATAGTGTATAACGCACTTAAAAGAGATGAATATCTTTATCACCGTCTTGCTAAAGACAAGGTGCCACTCTGCTGCAGTTTTGGGAACAAGTTAATAAAAAATTGACATTTGTGTGACGTTTTAAAAAAAGAGGTATGTGAAATAAGGGTAGTGGACGAAAACAATCCAGTGGTTTTCTTGCACCAGTAAGTTTAAATGTAGGGCATACCGTACCACTCTCCAAAGTGTGAGGAATGCACAGACAATGCTGAAGAAGTACACAAACATTTAAGATAATGTAATGAGGTCATACAGCTAGACAGTCTATTCCTTGGCATAAACTAGCCACTTTTCACTTTTACACTTTTCCGTGTATCGTTTTAAAGGGGTATTTAGACCTATGGATACTAAATTCAGGTATGTTCACGTATGAATGGAAGGACAACATTGACATAAACCGGTGTTCTAGTCATGGCAAGAAACCACTGGATCATCTTTTTCAACCCCATTGCATCGCCCCATGGGTTAGTCTGTTTCATTTTGTCTTCCTTTCATTTTTTTATTATTATTTGTCCAAACCTGCTACAGATGAGTCAACTTGGGTGCTTCTTGGATTCTACCCTGAGAAGGATGGTGCGCAGACAGATCCGTGTATGTCGGATGTGGGTCACACGGTCCATGGTGCTGGTTTGCCGACATCTGTGTGGCACCGTTGTAGTCCATGCTTGCCGACTGGTGGTGTGGTAGGTGATTGAGGCCATACATAGAAGGCCCAGTGGCAGGCATGGCATCAACATAGCTACCTCCCACATACACGGGGCTACCCTGCATGTTTGGTGTCCCGTAGGTGCCACTGTTACCCTGTAGCCCATGTGGGTCATAATCCGGTGCAGTGTTTCCATACTTCTGTTGGGGTGGGCAACCTTTCATTGGGTTCTGATAGGCTGTTGACATGGCATATGCATTTTGATGGGGCTTGTTAAAAGATGGTGGGGAAGGAGCGTCATAACTGCCCATTGAGTGCATAGAGTTCATGAAACCAGATGAGGACTGCATTGGAAGAGGTGGGCTTCCTGTGGGAGACGGCCCCCCTGAGGACGAGCCGATGCCTTTCAACTTTTGATCTTTCTTGTACTTCATCCGCCTGTTCTGGAACCAAATCTTGATCTGCCGCTCGCTAAGGTTGAGCAGATTGGCCATCTCCACGCGCCTCGGCCGGCACAGGTATCGGTTGAAGTGAAACTCCTTCTCGAGCTCCACCAGCTGAGCGCTGGTGTAAGCGGTGCGTGCTCTCTTGGAAGCTGCAGAACCCGGAGGGCTTTTCTCACCACCGCTGCTCTCCGCTGGGGTGAGAATGAAATAAAACATAATTACTCCACACGGAAATTGAATGCATCGTTCCCACTAATAAAGCCGGCCATGAAAAACTTATCCCCCTGATATTGGTTGTCAACACTTCATAACTTTGGCATTTATTAAGAGACGCATGCCCTTACATTGACCTTGTGTATGTAAATCACATTACAACTAAAGCCCAGGGCCAGAATCGTACGGTGCACTAGGCAACGGTGTGTTTGCTACATGGTTTGTCTTTTAAATGGTTTACAGGGAGGATTAGAAGGAAAGAAACCTCTATGTGCAAATTCAGAGGCTTGTGGGATAAATCTTCTGTTATCTGGACACAATAATTATGTATGACAAGTGATGTGGCATTACTGCAATCTAAAATCTAAACAATAATCCTTGTGTACTGCCGTTTTATCTTCGGCCGCTTTTATAGTCAAAGATATTCAAAGCATATAACCATATAATCATCACAATTCTTAGACTTTTTTGTAAGCTGTACAATAAACCTGACTGGCCTGTCCCCTTGTTAAAAATATTGAAAAGTTTGAAACGAGCATGGTCTGATTTGGTCCCACCCCTATTGTATCCCCTTTCAAGCTAATAATGTTGGCCAACATCTGTCTCGGTCAAGAAGGGTGAGAAAAGGAGAGAATAAAACAGAACAGAAGAGAAGAGGGGGTTTGGCAAACACACCGTTAGCTGAGCTTGCACTAGGGGAGCTGTTTTTTTGCTTGGTGTTCTGACGTGACTCCTTCATCCAAGGAAAGATTTGCTTCGTGAGAGTTGGGTTTGGGGCCAGAGAAGACGACTTGGATGACGATTTGGCTGTGCCCCCGCCGCCAGCCCCGCCACCACCGCTACTGCCTGGCTGCTGGGTGGCATTTGAGGCAGCAACGTTTACAGCGTTCTGAGGAGGGGAAACCTGGGGGGGTGGGTGGTGTTCAGGTGGCAGACTGGGCCGCATGCAGCTGCCATTAAGCTCTTTCGTCTTGGCATGCTGAGGCTGTGGGGGTGCGCTGGTGCCGAGCGACTGTAGGGAGCATGCAGACCTTTGGTAGTCACCCTCAAGATGCGCTGAGTTCTGGAAGGCTGGTGCCGGGGCATCATAGCCAAAACCGTTTGCCCCCTGGTATGAGTATCCTCCGAAAAGTGTCGAGTTGTCGTAGTAGGTCGTTTTCTGCATTTCCAAAAATCGAGTTACCGGCTACCAGGGTCCTGACGACCTTCTGGAAGAACATTGGCACTAGATGTCACGTGACGGTCTCTTTCCAATGGCCTCTTGGAAGCTGACCTGAAAGGTTATAAGAGGCACATAATAAGAGGGGCGCGAGGTAAATCCATCTTACTGCACTGAAAGACGCCATGACATGAATAGCATGTTCCCACAACACAGCCTGCAGATGCTCTCTCTCTCTCTTTCTCTCTCTCTTCACTCCCTCTCAAACTACACATAAGGTTTTGAACTGGTATACTCCAAAATAATTGTTTGTTTGCGTTGCATGTTATTTAAATTTCACTTTAAATTACAGACTGATCTTGCCTTTGTTCTCTAAATAAATAAATAAAACGTTTTGTGCTGTGGTCATTGTTCCTACTGATATGCAAGTATTTAGGTAGGAAGGGAAATAAATAAATCAATAAATACATGCATAAATACATGAATAAATAATCTCTTGTCATAAAAATAAAGATGGTACAATTCACTGGCCAAGATGCATTTCGGTGGTAATTGTGGACAATAGGGCTCCATTCTAAGATCTCTGATATTGTCTAAAAACATTTCATGTTTAATTTTTGCAATTGAAACAGAATTAACAAACGCAATAAAAGACAACAACACGTTATTAAAAAAAAATAATTAAACTTGGACAAAACAGACGATCTCTGCGGACATTTGAGAGAGCTCTTGTCTCAAGCACAAAGGAAATCTTTGGAGGGCTTTCTCCAGTTACAAACAAACGGATTTGGGCAACATTAAAACCTGACAAACCGGCACTGTGTTTCTTTAACTTTGTCGCTGGCCTTTATGGACGCAGAGGGAAAGCTTCACCGGACGGTGTTATTCATAATAGTCGCAGAACCAAAAATAGACAAATCCAGCCCTTTAAAAAGCTCAAGACCTCGCAGCTTGGCTCTGGGGTTGCTGAGAGGACCGGGCGAAAAACGATCACTCAAACACTTACAGGCACCTGGCATTTATTCTCACTCACTCGCCTGGGTTGTAAATGTTATTAAAAAAGACGAAGGGAAGCCAATAAATTGCATAAGGTGTTTTAAGAAAGGACTACTAAGGCTTTTGTTTTATCGGATACTTGCAAGTTCAATTCACAAAGGGCAAAACCATTTAAACTATTTCGAGTCCTTTATCCATAGATGAAATTACCTTTGCATTTTTCATTAATTATGTGTATATTTCTATAAATAACACCCATATGTATTCAGACGACTGAAACACCACATTAGTAGTTTGATGCTGGTTTATATTTCGTTTGCTACAGATGACAATTATAACGAAGGCCTGATTTACATAAACTCTGTGTTTTGCGTCCTGTGCTTTTTTGTATCGTTGTGAAAATCCAATGCAAAAGATCTATATATATATATATATATATATATTCATTTGATCAAGTAAAAAAAATGTTTTACTGGTTTATATAATTGTAATTGTATTTAGCCTATCGTATAATAAAGTGTTCCAAGAAGAAAGAAAAAAAACATACGCCGTCTAGCTAAATGAATCATCCTTATAATTTTCTAAAACCGTGTGTATGTATACAGCCTATAAGGGTGTGTTATATAACAATATGTTGTTGTTTGTTTAAAAGAAAGAGAAAAGAAAACAATATAAGCATTAGAGCTCACAAGTATTGCAGAAGCTAACTCAAAGTAAAAAATCCTTGTTAAAATGGACTGAAATAGACAGTGAATTTGTCTTTCTCTGACTGATAATGATTCTTACTGATTGTAAAATGTACTTCCCTGCAATAAATTGATATGTCTAATTCTACGATTAATATTTTATGATTTAGAAATAAATTTGTAAACATTGAGATGTTTGTGTTTCTGTGGAATAAAGCGTAAATGTGAGGTAGGCCTACTGCTTTTGGACATCAACTCAGTCTCAACACGTCACAAATGTCGGTCATTTATCTTCGAAGAGGACGGCCGGAATCCTAATCATTTACTCTAAGGAATTGTACAGGGGAGAGAAAGGGGAGAGGAAGTGGGGGATATAAAAACAGGCATAATAGATATGAAATCATATCGCTGTTCCATTTAATGGAACACGTAATGTCTTGGCCCTCTTGTTACGGTAACACAATAACCAACTTTTCTGTAGATCCAGCCCTAATACAATTACGGAGTCGAAAGCGGACGTAGTAGGAGCAGGACGAACCCAAACGTCAACAAAAACAACACTGCTTGGGCGCCTCTTTGCTATTCGAAAATAAGTTCCCTAATATTTATGTAAATATTAAACGGATAGCTTACATAACCCCCAAAAATATAGTAAGTATGTCAATTGGAGAGACCCACAGTCTTTGCATTCGGAAAGAACAGGCCTTAAACGTGCAAATTCAATATCAAATGAAAACACACCTTGGTACCAATCGAAGCATTTGCTGAAATCGTTAAAATCATTTGAATATTGCATACTGACGTTTAACCACGGCGTTTTATTTGCTCGCGTAAAATCACCACCTCAGTCTTGAACATAAACTCACGCTTTTCCTACCAAAGCATTTATGAAAACAAACATCCCCCTCCAAAAAGATCTCCTTTGTTATGTAACAAAGCCAAAATTAGACTAGATAACACAATCTTGTGTGCATTTATTCAGTAAAGAACGCTCCAGCTTCAATGGAAGCTTAAAGCATTGTGAACTCTTCTTGAACCGCGTTTGGAGTCATACGGTCATAAATCACTAGGACACACATACCGCCATTCACAAACTGATAGCCTATTTCAGACCAGCTTACCTTAGCCTCTGACGAGAGACGCGCGGGCAGGCATCATATTTTCCACAGTCGGACACGCTGCAATCAATAAAGAAGCCCAAAGCTCATACCAGTTTCGATATTCCAGCCAGACAGCGCGCGTCAAACGCCGGGTATCTCGAGCACGGCTGCCCCGCGCCAGAGTGCGGGCGCTGCTGGACGATTCCCCTCGGCTCGCGAAAGGGGGAGACGGTCTAGCATTAAAGATCTGAGGTATGCGAGGGGGGCTGCAAATGGACAGGCAGCACTGCTCCTGGCCGCCCTGTCGACTGGTACGCCCTGCTCGCAGATAACAATGGCCTCAGATTTCGCCTTCAATCTCCCCTCGCCTTTTCCTCATGGCGCAAAATTGAACATCATAATCCGATGTGGGCTCCCGACTCGCCGAAACATCTCCCCGTCTCATGTCGGGGCCCGGGGTCTGCTGGTATTATTTGCTCGTTTTTGCTAGGTTATTGTATGTAGCCAACACCAGGCCTTTCCAGCTATTGGAAATAACGGAGCAGGCTGGATGTGAGAGGCTCAAGCGTTAATCCCCATCAAACAGCGTCACCAGTGAAAACTTATGCTAATTGCAGGCGCTCGGGACAAGATAAAGGTCTACAACGGAAGCTGAACGGTTTTTTTTCCGAGTCACTTTCACTTGTGTGGTTGAACTATTATCCTCTTGTAACATTGTTTAGCAGGCAACTATAGCAGAGAGGACCCATTTCTCGCTCCCTCTCTTACTCTACCGGTGTATATTAAATTACCAGGAAGTACGTTCTCAGCGCCGGCTTGCCTCTTGCTTGAGGCAGAAACAACATTCTATCTGTATTGTTAATATTTCATCACATCCCTGCCAACACACCCAACTATAATAACTAAATAGCCTATAAATATATACAAAAAACAATGAGGTGGGGGTGTAAGAACAAGAGAACAGACAACAGGCGGACTTGAAACCTGAGGGAGGGGTGTGAAAACAAATCACCAAAAAGAAAGATTTTTTTATATATTAAGAAGCTCTGTCGAGTTCTGGTCACACAAGTCCTGCGAGTATCATGCTGGCGCGTGCACGTTAAAAATGCACGACGAGAGAGTGTCTTCTGTTTTTACTGTAGGCTATACATAAAGAGAAAAATATCAACATAGCCTTTAAGGGTGGAGGACAGAAGGGGAAAATACGATACGAGAAAAACGCGAAAAGGAAACAAGGACAAAAGCCGGCGCGAGACCAAGATGAAAAAAAGAAAAGAAAAAAAACACACCAGGAAAAAGTGTTCAAGAGATATTGCTACTTCTCTCTCCTTAAGCCAAACACTACGTCTCCCTCTCTCTTTACTCTCTCTCTCTATTTTTATTATTCAGGACACTACCCCCGTCGTTTATGGCTACGTAAGATTTATGACTTCCACCATACACAGGCAGCTGTAAACAGGCAACTTTAAAAAGATGCATTTCTTCTAGGTGCTTGAATAGAGAGCATCACCAACGGTGTGGGAGGAAGGCACAAGACAAAAATGTAGGTGTCTGCAACTTTTTACTAAACGGCATTGTTCCTTTTTTGCAACCTTGCTAAAAGGATCCAATGGGGAGCCACTTAAAAGGGTACTAATTAACTAATACGTGGGCTGAGGCAACGAAATGCAGAAAACACAATTTCTACTCTTCCATTTTGCCATCTTTCAGCTATGATGTAAACATTAACAAACTGTTATTGTTCAGTCAGTGGGTCAAATTTTACAGTTCGGATTATGACGTGCTGGTTTTCATGGACTGGGATACATGTTGTTAATTTTCATAAAAAGGACAGCATATTGAGCTGCGCGATGATGGATGTTACATTCCTCGTTCTTTTCCAATGGAATACAAAAAAGACAACCACAGCCTCGGTGCATTATTTCCATGGATGTACATTTCGAGAAACCAGGAAAAAAAACTACACTTCCGGACATTCTATCCTACCTCACACGGATCCCTGGATACTCGTTTTGAAATTAAAATCATTGAGTTCGTTTAAATAGATTTTAAATCTACTGTATGTTTGTGTTGGTATGTTAAAGAAGTATTGAAATTGTTCAGTTATATAAACAACATTTATACAGCTGTATGGAGCATTGTATGCTGTTATTTCTACAAAATGCTATTGTTTTTTAAGAGTAATAATGACAAAAAAACATTGCAAACCGTTGCTATAAGCGGTCTCATTCAGTATTATAGGAAAGATTTAAATAGAAAATTGTTACGTTTTAGGACAATGGTCTTTAAAAAATAATGATTTTTTAAATTTTATTTATTTATGTATTTATTTCCCAGAATGCTATGCCCCTGAAATTAATAAATGGCAAACAACAAGACAGCAGAACAACTCTAGTAGCCTTTTGGCAAAACAATTAATGAGCTGTTGTTAATGTTGTTGTTTGTATGTTTATTTACATTGGGGGAAAAAACATGTTGTGAGTGTTATTCTAGCGTGGGATTTACAGTGAGTTGCGAGTCATCGTTTGCTAAGCAATTATTTAAGGCGTCAAACATTTCTCAAAGACTGCAAATAAATGTTACGCATGAGCAGCCTCAAAAATAAATCGACACGTAATCACCATCCCAATCCCTATATATCATCGTAAACAAGATTTCTGTTTCAATTAGACGTTAACTGTTTTTTTCCTCCAGTCTCAACATTCTATACACTTTAAAAACAACCTGGATGCAACACTCGAAATGCGCATCGATCAATTTAGCAAATAGCATGGGAGATATCAAAGTTTGCGAGATTTGTTCCCCTAGTATACAACGGTATAATTGCCATTAAATTGGGGTCATTATATGTATGGTTATATGTATGCATTTGTATGCTATTGCATTATATGCTATTTTAAGCTAGAATCCTGATGTTACATTTTATTAAAAAAGAAAATGCTTTGAAATGAAAACATTTTAATAAAGCAAGCGCATTTTCTGATTTGTTTTATTCTTTGAATCAGTAAAAATATAAATTCAGATTTCATTATAATAATGTTTCATTTTTTAATGCAATGGAAAAAAATAGTCTCTTTCCCAAACACATTACCAGAGGGTATAAATCACTGTCAAACTAAAAAAAAAAAAAAGATTGAATCACTTACCGAGATCTTGTCCTTTATCACTTCTAGATTTTATGCAAGGATACAACTTCTTGATAACGAGAAGGAACTGTAAGTAGAGGAACAGAAAAAAGAGAGATGCAATCAAAACGGGGTCGCCAAAAATCCAATAGAGAACACCAGACCTCATGTAGAGAAACTGACCTCAAAGACAATTTGATGGTTGGCCACTGTTGACCGACATGTTAACCTTAAATTATGTTCGGGAATACAGAGAGAAATTCGAGGCCAACGAAAATATTTACGCTGTATCCCAAAGTCCCTTACTTCTATTGATTTTCAACATGTATTGAATTAAGCATGATATTTCTAATCATTTAAAACAGAACCTTTGGCCCTCCTAACTGATTTACTGACAGCAGAAAAGGGTATGTTGAAAATCAAAACGATTCATTCTTAAAACCATACATGCGCTCTTATTTAAACACTGAACAAAAAAAAAAAAAAAACCCACAGGCGAATAAAGGAATAAAAAAACGTAAAAACAAGCATAACAAGTATAACAAGCTCTCCTGGCCTTGTTATAAAAATGGCCTACTTTTCTGTTCTGCAATATTATGCAATTGTAATTTTATAATCATATAACATCCCAAGTCAATCGACACAATAATAATAATATAGGCTACTACTAATAATAATATATAACATTAATATATTATTATTATATAATATATTATATATTATTATATTTATTAGCATCATGCACAAATTACAAAAAAAGATTGACAGTAATTAAATAGAATAAGCGACAGCAGCAACCATTGAGAAAACCATGAAGCGCGAGCCCCACCATTCTGGAATAAAATCCACCCATAAACTTGATAAACACAGCCCTTAATCCAAACGGGTGCCCTGGAGAACCGAAAATGGATATATACAGTAGGCGATGGCCTGAACTGAAATGGAATGAAATGGCCTTGCTGGTCTGCATAGCAGCGCTTATTAAAAGTGGAATAAAAACGTTGGACGGTTTCGTTCGCCGGCTCGTGACAGCTACCCCAAACACATAAATCAAAACGAGGATTCCCCCGACCTCCCCGACTCTGCGGCCTACAGCGCTATAAAGTTATTTATTGCATCCCCGCACTTACGCACGCCGTTGGCTCGAGTCCATTCCCAGCACCCGGGCCCGTTTCTACCGCTGTCCGGGTATTTTTGGGTCGATTCGTCCCCGGTATCACGCCAGCGACCCGCAGCCTTGCTGGACTAACCTAAAGTTACCTATAAAGTGAAGGGTGCTCGTGCCCCAGCAAGCAGGAACGCTGCTGCTCTCAGAACAAAGGGAGGAGGCAGCTCCCAGCCAGAAGAGCTGATGAGCCAATTTTTAGTGAGGAAAATGGAAGAGAAAGCAACCAGAGAGTAACGGCTTAGCCGAACCAGAACCAGCTTCTCCTCTGCTGCACGGAAAGCGTTCCAGAAGTGTGTAATTATTGTCCAGGCTATCGAAGGCTCAGAAAGAAAACAACAGCCGGATTCACATGCGCTCATTACTGCGGACTTTACAACAAAGGGCTCCTGCATCATTTATATAAATGCATATTAAGTGGATACACGGGCAGTGGGAGACTGTGTTCGGTTTGTCAGACCGTTTAAATATAGTAGGAGCTACTCTCACACTCTGCATAGTTCACACTGTGAACTCATTTGCACCCATGTCTGCTCACTTTCAAAACAGTTATGATACATTTTTAACTGTATTATCCCTCTCACCCTTGGATATTGCATCACCTCTTTGTATGGCCGTAGCCAACTGTAATATAGTTCTTCGTTTCAAAAATATATGCAACACGTACGAACGTGGGAGAGTAAAACACGCTAAACTAAAAGAGGCGCGCGGCGTGGCTTTGACAGATTGGCACTGGGTTTGCAGCTTGACCTTTTCGTGGAGGTGCGATAACTCACCAGATTAATGATCAGTCAGAGGTACTTTGGAATCCCCTTGTAATGTCTTATATTTATGCATTAATCTCCCGTCCTGTACGTCCACGGGCTCTTGAGAAGCACGTATGGCACCTTCTGGAATTCAGCGCAAAGCCGACCTCATCCCATTTGTTGTCTAATTTACCAGGCGGTTGTGAACTGGCAACTGGCTATTTAGTAGTGACTGGGTGATAGCATAAGGGCCCTCTCTCCAAAATCCAAAATAATGCCCTGAATCCTTCGCTCACGTGACACGCTTGCGTCAGAATGTCTTTTTTGAAGTATTTTCCTAGTCTTAATACATCCAAAAATAGAAAATATGCATTTTCATTCATAATCCGTTCAATCGCAATTAATGACTTCTGCCCCGTTTTCGTGAGTGCCACCCAGCAAAAAACACTGATATCTCTCCCCCATCACAGAAAAGTTGAGCTTTCATCAAGTCCGTTTGTTGGATTCCAGTGCTTTGAAAAGTAATGAGCTCGAACGCTTAGCATACCCAAAGGCCGAGAGAGGAGGCTGTGTTGTGTTTTAAGCTGGGAGCGGCTAGATATGTCTTCTTTTCTCTTGCAGTCTGGCGGATGACATCCAACTTTCAACACCACAAACTTCAGTGTGAGGCCGCTGGATGCGTTAGGCCTTCTGTGGCCAATCTTTAGACGATTAAAGGCGTTTCTGCTCTCGCAGGCTGTGGGAATAGGCAGGGGGCTTGGTTTCTGACACCCACGCGTATAGCATCAACTA